TATATATATATATATATATATATATATATATATATCAATGGCCGTTAATGTGTTTGCTAAGCTGAGCAGTCTGGTTGAAATTGTCTAACCATTGGTCCAAGTGACACCAATAGTAGACCTGATCGATCGAATCCACTCTGATCAAGCATTGCTTGTTCGGATGGGCATTTCTATTGGCCTGCTGACTGACCTCGAGCACTGGTAGGGGGGGGGCAACTATTGAAACTTGACCTCTCCGGTTCCACCACCACTTGGTTTGGGTCGCTTTACCAACAGTTCTTGGATCACATGACTTCTGCACTGCATGTGCTGTTATGGGCGGGCCTACGAATGATATAAACACCTGAGGGTGTAAGATCGGTATGTCGACTCGAAGAGGCCTGTGGACAGCAGTGAGCAAGCCAATTCATGACAACAACTAATGTCATGAAATTCTTTGGTCAGGCACCCCGGCCGTACCTAATTTACGATGCATTGCAGCAATGGTACGGCTGAAAGTTTGTTTTTCTCTCTTCCATGAGTGTGTGTGTGTGTGTTGAAGTGCTCGTCCCTCCCGGATTATTTGTTTTGGCCACGCTAAGTCCCAAAATCTTCCACAACTGTGCATTTTGTCAGTTGCCAGATTTATTTGCGATCCAAATTCACAACTGTTTCTGAGGACAACCTGAGTTTCGTCCGTGTATCGTAGTTTCGGTCTTGCCCGATCAAACGCTACTTCAGGCGCCAACTCTCAAGTCGACAATAAAAGTGATATCTAATACATACATACATCTAAGACATAGAATATATACGTAAGATCGCCGTGATCAATCGTGAGTGTACTTAAAAGTGTAAAACTGATGTACTACATATCATTCTCAACTCGCTACTCGAGTTCGAAGCCTTGGAGGTCGAACTACGTCTGTCTGTATGCTAAGGTGTCTGACAGTTACGTGTGGAACAATCTAGAAAAATCAAACCTTCCTCGTCAGATAGTTCTTCCATTATATCGAAAGGATCCAGCCTTATCAGGCTTTCTTCCATTTCTTTCATATGAAACACAATTGGTGTCTTGTCTAATTTCTCCTCTCGTCATCATCACTATTTCAAGAGAACTCTTCATTGTCCTCTGGCAGGTGTTTGCCGCAAGAGATGCTGAAATTCATGACCATTCCTTTCACTACCTTGAACGCGGCAGCTATCAGCACGGCGGCGATTTACGTATATTGTTTCAAGTTCAACCAGTGCCTCGAACTACTGGGCATAGTCATCACAAGCGGATTCGGACTTGCCCAATGGTCACTGCTGATTCCGTTGGTTGAGCCCGGTAAACGGCTTAAGCCACCTATTGGCAAGATGTCATCTCTCAATGTGGCTCAAGTAAGTGAGAATTCATCAGAGAGCCGGTTGTTTTTACGACGGGGCGCTCTTTGTTTTTTACCTCTCTCTTTGATGGAACACATCTCAATAGGCTACTAAAAACTCATTGAAAGCCTACAACCACTTTCATCTTTCTAGGGATTTATCAGGTGTGACTGTGATACTACTGATGGGGGAGGCATGCGAGTAGTATATTTTCTCGTAAATCCGCTCTGCGTTTCTTGAAAAGTGAGATCTATTACGGAATTTGTGGAGTCGCTTTGTAGCGTTTGCTTGGATTTGAGCAACAACCAATGAATACCCATAAAGGTTCAAGAAGACGCGATCAAGGAGAAGATGGATATTCAGTTTTTGAAAACGAGATGCATATGAGAGTTTTGCTTCCCTGTCCAATAGTCTGTAACTGTTCAGTTGGCATTTCCTATTAAATAACTCCGCAGCGAAGGCCTTCTCCCCTTCACAGGTAGAAGCAATCCCCGAGTTCAATCCGAATTTTACACAGTTTATGAAATACGCGCACTGACTTGGTTTTAGCCCGAACACCGAACACTAGAAGCTCTAATTAACAAAAGCTATCACCTTCAGCCAATCATATTTGCACTAAATGGGTTTGGCTTGTCATCTTTACTGCCTCGGTGTCTGCATGGCGGTTCGGCACGCGGTTTATGGCCAGTGAGTTAGCGTCCCTCACCGTCTTAAATGAATTCCGATGTTTTCTATGAAGGAGAATGTCGGTAGCTCAGGTAGCATAGATGATCGTTGGCTTGTTCGCTGAGCTGGGCAAATTGGTTGCAAACATTTCATCACCGATCGAGGTGCGTAGTTGTGCGTAGCGGGGGGTTAGTGGTTGTGCGTTCAGTAGTGTTACGTGTGTGTTGATATGCGTGCTGGTAGCCGGGGATGACCTTTGACCTCGATTAGTTATTCTGTCGGGCGGTTCCACTGGTTGTCCTTTTTATCCCGTGTCCTCATTCGCCGATGCCCATATGACCTTTGAACTTGGCATCCCTCGCCGCCCTTGTCTGGTCGATGTTGGAGTGACCTTTGTCCTTGCGAGTTCCGGCTTGTGACCTTTATTTAGTTGACTCCGAGGAGTTCCTTGTTTCTTCGTTTGTGAATCCATTATTCGGTCCTCCTTGAGTGTTCCGGTTGCAATGTTTGTCTTTTGCAAGTAGAGGTGCGTAAATTGGATCCAGTTCGATGCACCGGTTGATTGAACCTGCCGTAGAGTACCGATGTTCTCGGTGCACTCCTAACCCTCCGTTCGCTCTGCTTTTAGGGGCTAGTTTTACTGACCTATCATTGCTTCGTGAAGATACAAGTACACAATATCATGGAGAAGCTAAACAAGGCAGCAATAAACTCGGTCCGGTGGATGCGACAGAAACCCACTCGTCGGAACTGTCTCATACTTGGTGAGGCTCCGACGAAATTCGAAGCAGATGTGAGTTTGTCCAGAAGTTGGCCACTTGTTCAAACATTTTATCCGGGCAGTGAAAGGAATCACTTTGTTCACTCTCGCCGAAATTCTTTGAAATGTTTCCACTCCGACGGAGTTTCCACTGCTCATAAGATTACTGGAAACTCTTCGACAGCTCACGACCGGCTTAGCCCTCACACTTTTGGCTTATCAGGTAGGCGCACTCCCTGAGTTTTGGTCAACTATATTTTTTACTTGATAGTTTTCGACAAATACGCTCACTTGCAGACAAATGTGGTTTTGGAAGGAGACTCAGCTGAATCCACCCGAATCTGTCGTTTATGAAGTTTCAAGTGGAACGTGAAGTGGGATGGTGCCTACCTGATGAGCCCCAAAGAAATACGAAAGAGGTTGTGGGTTCACCGGGGGTGTACAGCAACCTCATGAGCAGTGTGTTACGTCTAGAAAACAACGTATTATGATATCTCTAACACTGAACCAACTGAAACACCAGGCAGCCTAGTGTAGCACAGTGTGTAGCACATTCAGTTGAAGCAAAACGCCATTAACGAGAGGCTTGGGTGGATTCAGGTTTGCCTCCAACCAAATTCGAAATTGAGTACGAATGACAGTATTTTGACAGCCGCAACTTAGGTTTCAACCTTTCTGTGCCATGATAAGGTGCACAAGCGACGGTCTGTGTAACAAACAGCGCAAGGGAGTATTCCTGCTGAGCATGATGTTCTTGATTCACGTTGCATAGATAGGGGATCTTTGTTGGTATCACCATGAGTGATGCGTGCAGCTTACCAGATGTCATCATCATCGACAGCATGACATCAGTGTTCAACACCAATGCTTCACTGCCGTACAACCATGATTTATTTGAAAGCCTTATTGTGAAGAAAAGAGTAAAGGTGGAGAGGGAAGGGACTTAGTGGTAGCTTACCGCAATCATTCCGAGGTGCCTACACCTCCAGACATTCACTCAGGCAATCTGGACAGAAACTGACAACAAGAACGCCACTGACATCGGTTGGCAGCCATATCTTGTAGTGTCTCCAACCAGGCACAGTGAGGATCACGCGGTCCCCATCCTGGAAGGCGAGTAGCACCGACAGCACCCAAGCGTTTCGTGATCTCCTTCATACTCCTCTGCCAGGTCAAGGGTTGTCCACATCTCTGAGTTGGGCATGGAAACTAGCACTCTCTTCGGCAACCGATGGTTCGGTATACGCAACACATATCCCAACCAACGCAGCTTGTGGTGCTGGACATATTCTTCAATGGAAGTACCAGATGTTCTTTGGTACCATAGCTTTCAATGCAACTTGTGGAGTTACAAGGCTTGAGAGGGACTGATAGGGAGCCCAAATTGGTCATCTCTTCAAAATCATTCTTCAGCTCAACAATTTAATAATGCCTTTGAAAACACGATGTTTTGTGATGGATCGAATTCCAGGTGAGATTATTCCTAAAATATCTAGTTCCTCCCGTATTGTCGGAGAAACGAGGTATTCTTTAACAACAGTAACCTCATCGGAAGTTTAATGAGTACCCGAACTAAACACTGAGAGCATCTCAGCGCTGTCCATTTGCTTGATAGATTCCCTTGAATCGCTGTTGAACCCCTTCTAGCCGGAATCGGTTTTTTCAGATGAGTGACTCACGCAAAGTGACTTACCCTTTTAAAAAGGTCACGTGAGGCAACCGGAGTTGGACAAACAGCGCACTTTCCATCAGGCGGAATGTATTCCCGAGCTCTACATATCTAAAATCAGTGGATCAGACAAACAAACGCATATGCATTCCACATTCAATCATCGAATCCATATTTAGGTCATCTCTAACGGTGGAACACTCCATCGTGGATGGACCGTATGGAGAACTCACTTTCCGGCAGGAGCAATGAAGTTGCTCGCCGCTTATCTGCCCAATCGAACGACATCAGGTTAGCCAACACCCCGCGACTATACTTAGGGGCGAAACAGTTTCTATCGTATGTTTCACTTTTCAAACTAGGAGCGCTTGTGCTGTGTCAAGTGAGCGTTAAACCGCCAGCAAAACAAGTGCTGTGAACTTACCCGTTTACCTCAAACTATCATAAATCGATAGGCTAATTATCAGAAAACAAATACGTGTATGCTTCCCTCCTCTGGCAACTTCCTAACTGTTTGCAACAAAGTGATTTAGTAAGGCGGTTCTACATTAGAAATATTGCGTAGAAGAGCTTTCATTCTGAAAAATGTTTGCACTTTAGGAGGTAAATTGTCGAGGAAGACATTTCGTCTATGATGTTTTACATTTTTAGAATTTGCTCAGTGGAAGACGTTGTAAATAGGTAGATTACGTTGACTGGAGTATCTTGTGCTCAAACCTCAGGGGAATTGCTGGCTCCAAGTGACTTTGGTAGAGTAAAAAAACGGTGATGATTTGACACAGTCATAGGCCTTCTTGAGCATAGCATTACCGGATGAGCCCCAAGAAGGGTCGCGGACTGTCGGAGCGTTTTCAGCAACTCAGCGAGTAGTTCCTTTCGTGAAAATAGCACCAAATTCCTAACGCAACAGTTTCGCAAACCTGTCGGAACACCGTGTCCCCTCGAGCTAGCGCCCCATTACTCATCAGTTTTCCATGCTCGATGTGAATTTCCCTTTCTTTAGACTCGACCTCAAGGGTTACTTTATGGGTTTGCGAGACGAAAAACAACCACAACGGACTCACTCACATCGTTGGAATTCGACAAGCCGACAGCAGTGGCGCGAGCGGACCCTTTCAAGAAAGGCAAGTAAATGTTTTCCGTAGCAATTGATGCGATCAGCGAACTTGACAGTTATCTCGCCGCTGATTGAGCAGACAAGATTTGGTGTAGTAACGGTATTTTTCCCAGCTTTGTTCTCGGTCTGAGCCTCCCAAGCTAGCGTTCACGTCAAAACAACCACCAAAGGTGCACAATGTCTATTGATGCCAAAAAAGAAGTCAGGAACAGTTGTACAGCGCTTCGTATATATAGCGTAGGCGGTTATAACTTTCTGGAATTTCTGACGCGTTCTGGATGCGCCATTGGCAATCGGCATTTGGTCCATGGTGGGTCATGATTGGCTGTTGGGTCCAGATTCTCGACCAATCAGACCTCGTCCTGATGCCGGACCGGCAAGCGTCCCGAGTTCTTGGCCAGTCTCGTGCAGACTAGGTTTATTGGGCGTAGCATCGCCTGAAGACGTGCGGTATAACGGAATCCGTGCCTAACATTTGGGTACACTGATTTGGTGGATATATCTTCTTCATTTACTAACAGGCCTGTATGGCATAATCGAGGCACTAACTGAGTCGGAATTGATAAGTTTCCATGCTCCCTTGTTAGAGAATTCATTTGGAAACAAAAGTATAGTGCATTGGCAAGAGTAATATGCGTGTTCAACATTCTACACAGCTTTTTAGATTTTTTCGTCTTCCAGCACAGTTTCTATCCGCTCCGGTTGATGGATTTCAGACAATTGATCTATAGAGTACGGTCAAATCCCAAAAAGACGTCTTGTTGCATTTTGGTGCGTCTTACTGTGACTTGAGCGAAAAAGCCAAACACTGCTGGAGATAACTGTTTTGTCAAAACATCGGGGAATATTCGATTGAGAAATAGGCGTTCTCAGTGGTTGTGTGGTAGTCTCAAAAACAAAAAGCCAGCGCTTTTTTAAGGATTCCGGTCATCATTCCCTCTGGCAAAAACAGTAGCTTGATCACCTTAAATGGCACCCACCACAAACCATTTTCAAATTGAACTTGGCGCCAGGTCGGACTCTTAACGTTTTTCCTTTAGGCACTACGATGTTTAACAAGCCTGTCATCTATTTTCACTACGAGAAGTGTGAAAACGGTGGAACTAAGGTTTCTTTAAACAGGCCACATGCGTGACCCACACACGTGGAGTCGAGCCGGACCAAGAGAACTTTTAGTTATCCTGACCTGCAATATCACCATAACGCAGTCACTGCATGATTTTTGGCTTCTGCAAAGAAGGCGGATAGATTGCATCACACTCATTAACAGTCTCAAGATTCGTCCTTGAAAGTATCACCTCTTCGCTCATCACGTGTGAACACAAAGAAATCGGTGGGGCAGACCTGACCTTCCAGATTTTGCCACTGCATTGGCGACTGACTGGGGTTTGGCAAGAACATTTCGGTGAACTTTCGTTCCTATAAAGTGATCGATCAAGACTAATCATTGTGTGACATGGGATTCCCGAGCAGTCAAAACCAAAAAAACAAGTCATTTGAATGCGATACACTTGGAAACCCTGAAGGCAGAATCTTCAAAACTTTGAGGTTCACTAGATTGTGTACCTGGGCATCGATTAACCTCGGCCAATGCCATCAGTTGATATCTCCCAACAAACGGAATTGCCATCTTTGTGTATTGTGCAAATGAACACCAGGTTTTCAGGTTTTATCCACCAATCTTGAAAAACTCAGAAAATATGCAAGTGGTCACACAAGAACAGCGAGATTTTTTTGAACGAGGTTTTCATCCTAATGCTTGTGTAGCTGAGATCAGTGTTGGTTCGTGTTTGGGAAACGAAATCTAAGGCGCTGAACTTATCACCGAACCGTATCAAAAGGGTTAAGGTTACCGGTAGCATTCACCGTGATGGGCTGCATCTCATTAGCAAATCCCGGTAAGTGGCACCGGGTCGATTCATGACAGTGGAGTATGTGTTTCGAACATATCTTGTTCAGTCGGGACAGAACATAGCTTGTAGTTGCATTTGTTTCCCTATAACAAAGTGCTGTGCGATAAGTGGAGTGACAGTGTGTGGATACACACTCATTTGGGGTGTATCTAGCGCACTAACTAAAGTGCGTTAGGCTGTCGAGTGGCGCAGAAAGTGGATGCCACTCATTTGAAATTCATCCTCAGACAGTCGTACGGGACAACGGTTTCAACTGTTTAGACAAACAGTGAACAACCAAACTGGAGCCATACGGACGTCAAAGGTAGGCCCGTAAGTATACCTGGGAGCTTACGCATTAAATTGGGGTCAATGTAAGTCTCAACGACCAGTGAATCAGAGCAGTATCTGAGGCTAGTTATGTGGTGTGTACCGCCCGTATTACAGGCTATAGATGCACTTCAAGTTCATAAAAGTTTGATGAACACATCCCTCAAACATTTGGTTCCACAGAATGTCCTGACGTATCGAGATGACAACGATCGTGATTCTGGTGCGGATCCTTGGTGGACGATCATACTACTCACAAAAATGATGCTTCACTGGTTTGGGAAAATTCTGAATTCTACTACATTCAGATATCCTGTGTGACGACTGTCAGACAATATGGTGCTGACGTATGATTTTCTTTCTTTCTTACTTTGCAGAAAAGTACACTATGCCCAACTCCGCATAGACTTATAATCCGGCAATGATCGAATCCAGGTATGTACGCTGCTCTGGCACGCTTGCCTCTTCTTAATATCCACAGTTCTCACCGGCTAGTTTCGCCAATTTAGTGGCATTTTTCATAGGAAATGGAAGCCTTCGTATCGCTCGTTCCGTATGGACCCACTGTTGACCCGTTACTCCTACACCATCCGTTCTCTCTGGCGGTGATTATCATTCGTCACAACCTTTTCTTTTTGTCTGAACTAAACTTGCTGTCAGGTATGCAAAATCGTTGTCAAAAACCAGTCGTTCCTCTTTCGGAAGTGACTACCTTCGTAAAGTCATGAACGATGCAATTATCTCGACAATTTCACCTTTTGTTCCAAAAGGTGAAATTTGGAACAATACCCTTGATATGCAGTGACAGACTTAATAAAACCACAAATTTTTCTCATTTCAGCTCATCGATTCTGCGATTTGGGTTGACAGTTGTGAAGTCATTCGGCGAAGCGGTTAACCGGTAAATCGTTCCGACAGGAGTGGCGGAAATCATTTTCTTGAGTGACTTAATGTGACCGTTAGTGATTTCTTCATCCTTTTTAATCGTCGCTTACCAGAATAGATATGTTGGGCGATAACTTGCAAAGTACATTCGTTTGCAAACTATTATTGTTTTTTACTGGGAGATTGAGATGAACTCTACCTAACTTTTTCGTTCATGACATTCTTCAACTGCATGTACTGCGAAAAGACCGCCTGATGTTTCAGTCATGACGATATTCGTGATATCGCAGCGCATTCTTTAGGAGGCACACACTACTCACAAGGTTGCTGAAAATTCGTGGGCAGCCCACATCCTATTTTTCCATTCTTCCACCCTTCTCTTCCATCAAGTTCAGATCCCGAGTTTGCGTGAAGCCTACGTTTTATTTTAACCCAAATTATGCTCGATTCACAAAGCATAACCGCTTGCAAACTAATGTATTGCTATCATATTCACGACATCCAGACACTTAGAATAACCTGTCAGGTTGCTTGAAAATCCACGAAAGGGTGTATACCCTGCTACTCAGAACATCTCTCTTAGTCTCTGCAGTGTTATACCATTCTTTTAGTTTGAATGAAACCACCTTTCATATGACCCAACAGCTTGGCTTCTTCGAGGTCAGGCTACCTTACGACTTGGCGGTGATATTCAACGAGATTCGAAGAGTATAGACAGATAGATAGATAGATAGATAGATAGAGAGATAGATAGATAGATAGATAGAATGATAGATATGTTGTTAGATATATAGTTGGATAGATAGATAAATAGATATACATTTAGATGGATGGATAGTTAGATACATAGATAGATAGATAGATAGATAGAAAGATAGATAGATAGATAGATAGATAAACA